GCAGCGGGGGGCAGCGGCCCCGGGTGCAGGGCGCCCCCGGCCGGGTCCGGTGCCCGCGGGCGTCTTCGGGGTGCCGGGAGCTTCGGGCCCYGGGGCCGTGTCCGGCTCCGTCCCCAGCAGCGCTGCGGTGCCCGCAGGTGGGCGAYGCGGAGCCCGCGCTGGGCGATGAGACCAGCTGGATCGGCGTGGTGCCCGTGGGCGAGGAGCGGGCGCGGGGCCCCGGCGCCGCCGAGGAGTCCTTCACCGCCGCCGTGGTCAGCAAGGTGGGGCGCTGCTGCGGCACCCCGGCGCGCCGCCCGGGCTGCTTCCACACCGGGTGCCTGGGGCGCATCCGCACCGGGTGCCTGGGCCGCTTCCACACCGGGTGCCCGGGCCGCTTCCACACGGGGTGCTGAGGGCTCCGTGTTTCCCTRGATTGCTGGGCGGGAGGGGTGGTCCCAGCGGCTCCAGCAGTGTCAGCCCCTCGTGTCCGTGTCCCGCCAGGCCTCAGGTCCCCCGCGGTCACAGGGACAAAAACGCGGCCCCTTAAGCCAGCCCTGCAGCTCCCCGCTGCGCGGGGACAGACGGGTGTCGTGCAGCCACGTGCCCTGCTGCCCGAGGCAGCGYGAGCTCCGAGCCCTTTCTCTCCGCAGATGAAGCGAGCCCTGGTGCTGGGGGCATCGGCGCTGCTCATCCTGGCGCTGAACCAGAACGCCATCCGAGAGGTGGGAGAGGCTGGGCGGCTGACCCGGCCCCACGGCCAGGCCGGCGGCCCTGCTCACAGCTGTCGCTTTTCCCTCCAATACAGCTGGATGTGTCCCAGCTTCTTTCCAAGCCTGTGATCGTGATCCAGTCCTCGGACAACGTCACCAAGCTGCTGGGAGCGCTGCTGCGGTAGGGCACCWTGTTGCAAACTTGCGTTTGTACTGCAGCTGCTGAAGGGGTAGCACGGGATGGCTGGTGCTTGTGAGCATCAGATCCCTTGTCTGGAGGGAGCAGGCACACGGGATGCAGCTCAGGCACCCAGCACGTGCCCCGTTGCTGCACAGGGAGGTGGAGGTTGGGCCCAAGACGTGTTTCTAGAGAAGGTTTGAGTCGAAGCCACTGCTTCCCTGGGACYTGTGCTCTTCCAGGGGCTCCCACAGAGCTTCAGGGCCGTGTCTTTTAGGTCTGACTCTTAGTGTAAAAGAGCCAGGCTCTCTGTGCTTAACCACATCACCTGCAGCATGAGGACTGGGGCAGATGCTGTCACCTGTGTCCTGGAGTGAGAGAGCGGGAAGGCACCGTGCTGGACCACGGGTGCCTTTGGCCACGGAGGCTGGGAGGGCTGGAGCTGTGGCGCTGAGCCGGCGCGGCGGAGAGGCCGGGGGCTGCGAGGTGCCTCCTGCACCGCGCTCGGAGAGCCGGGCACGGCTGGCGAGCGGGAGCCTCTGGCTGCCGCCCACCCGTGCGTGGTGGTCCCTGCGCACAGCCGTGGCTCGCGACTGGCCCCCTCGCTCGGGGCTCCGTGCTGGGACCGCGCAGGGACAGCCCCCCCTGCGCCCTCAGCACTGATGTTCTTCACACCTTTTGTTAACAGGGGGCTCCGGGCCACAGCAAAGATCACGTATCAGGCAGTGCTGCTGGAGAACCTGGTGCGTAGTGAGCGCGGGGGCACGGCCATGCCCAGCCGAGCTGTTGTGCTTGTCCCTAGCTGACAGCTTTGCTGACCGTGGGAGCACTAACACCTGCAGAGGCTGCTGAAGCTGTGCCTCGGTTTCCCCACTGCCTTGCTCCACGTCCTACAAGCGGTTGGAGACAGGCACCTGCCAGCGCAGTGCTTTGCCACCYGCAGTTCTTCCTCACTTCTCCAGTCACTCTTCATCTCCTCCTTTCCCTCCSATCCCTGGGCGGAGATCCTGCTGCCCTTCATCTCAGGGCACTAATGCCCTTTCGCTTTCACTTCTCAGCTCCAGGCTCCTTCCCCCTTGCGCCCCTGCTTGTCCAAGCCGAGCTCACAGGGTGCCCGGGCTTGCTGGTGCTCTGGACGGGGCTTGGAGGCTCTGGCTTGGGCACCTAGGAGCAGGGTTGCAGAGCTCTCAGCCTGCCGCGGCACACGCGCCGTGCTGTGGTCTGACACGGGCCGCCGGGCAATGCTGTGTCCTGCCTTGCAGGGAGTGACTCTCACCCTGTGGTCGACCTGTGGTCTCTCCCGAGGAGGCCTCTATGGAGAGTGGCAGGGAGTGATCTGCACGGGGGAGAACAGCTCGCAGGTCCAGGTGGGTGAGCGGCTCCTGCCAGGGCTCCCCATGTAGCCGGGGCTGTTTGTACGGAAGGTGCTGAGCACACGGCTCCCAGTGACTGCCGTGGAGCTGGGGAGGGCAGAACAAGTGTCCCTGGCATCACTGTAGCTGTCAGAGGAGCGTGGAGCTCCTCAGGGGCAGGGACACTAGTGGGGCTGGAGGTGAATGGAGGGATTTCCTGCCCAGACCCGTGTCCCTAACCGCCTCTCCATGCCGTTGCTTCAGAAGTACCTCCAGCAGCTCTGGAACACCATCCTGCTCATTGCCCTGCTGCTCTGCACGGGGGTGATCGTGCAGGCGCAGCGGCAGTCTCGGCAAGGCCTGTTGGAGCAGGACACCGAGGTGGGACAGAATCCTCTGCTCTTCTCCTTGCGCTGGAGAGATGCAGCCAGGGCCTGACCCCCTGCCCGGCCCTCACAGCTGGACCTGAAGCAGCACATTCAGCGGCGCCTCTCAGCCCTGAAAACCCGACGATACCAYCCCGGCAAACCACTCCAGAACCAGGCCTGCGAGATCGACAGCTGTGCCGTGTGCTTGGACCAGTTCCACAAGAGCCAGGTAGGGCTGGCAGGGCGGCGTGGCACTCGACCAGCACACTCCAGCGAGTGTGATCGCTTTGCTCGGTTAAGGCTTTGACGCTTGGTTCCTCTTCCCTAGAGCTGCCTGATTTTTGCCTRTGGGGCTGAACTTCTTGTCTCAGCTTGTAGAGACTGACATGTCCCCACAAGGAATATGGGACACTTGACTGGTCTGTGTGACAGGGGCAGAAATGTGGCCCTGCTAAGCTGGYGGCTGCACCCTGCTCAGCTCCGCTCATGTCTCCTCCTGCTTCTCCCTGCAGTGGCTGCGGGTGCTGCCGTGTTCCCACGAGTTTCACCGGGACTGCGTGGACCCCTGGCTTCTCCTGCAGCAGACCTGCCCTCTCTGCAAGCACAACATCCTGGGTAAGAGCAGAGGCTGCAGCCTCTGTGTTCCTGGGCAGCACGCGTAGCCGTGCCCCGTATGTCCTCCTCGGTGACACATTCCCAGAGGGCTGCCTCTGACCTCAGGGAACAGGCAAAGAGGCAGACACAGCAAGGGGTTTCTCTGCTGCTCTGAGGCCTCCAAACCCTCTTGGGGGCCTGGCTGTCCCACTGTGGTCACCAAGGAACATGTTTGTGCTGGGGTGAGGGCCAGGGAGGAGTCATTGTCAGCCAAGGGCTGCTGTCTGCTCCCAGCATCCCTGCATGACAGCCCTCCCTCGTTCTYGCTTGCAGGGAACTGCTGCGGAGAGACCTAGCTGGCCTGATGGACACATTCTAGGGATGGATCCGCTGTGCTCCGGGAAGAGCCAGGGAGAGGGAGGGGGGCAGGGAGAGGCATGGGGCTCTGTGCTGGAGGGGGGCAGCGCAGTTGGCCAAGCCGGGGCAGGGGGGAGGCCCTGCCCTGCTGCTCCAGCTCAGCCGGGCTGTGCCCTTCACCACATCCTGGCAGCCCGTTAGGAGAGAGAAGGATCTTGGCACTCTCCCTACTTGGGCTGCATCGAGGAGGTGGGGGGACACGTTTGGGCAGTCTGCACGGGCCGTGCTAGGGGTTAGGGGAGTGTGGTGGGGAAAGGAAGCTGCAGGGCACCCGTGGGCATAAGGGGCAACCGAGGCTATAGCCAGGGTGTGATAGCCCTAAATGGAAGAGCCCTGACCCCACTGCTCCCTCTCTCCACTTCTAGTAATCTCCTTTTCTAGGTCTCTTTTGTATTTGCCCGGGGCTGCAGCGAGCTGCTCCCGGGCAGTTGTGGCCATCCCAGGGCTCGGCTGAGCAGCCCGGTGCCCAGAGCTGTGGCTGGGCTGCCATGGGTGGCAGCTCTCGGGGCTGCTGGGCGCCACGTTGCCTCACTGCTCGCAGCGGGAGGGCGGGGGGGTTGAATGCTTCGTTTATTTATCCTAACTTATTAGAGAGGACAGCACCRGTTAGCTGCAGAGACTGAGCGCAGTCACGGGGGTGCCGTGGAGCCTGGGAACTCGTCATGGGCCTTGGATGGCTCCTGGTTCCAGGTGACAGCCAGAGGCTGCTGGATTGAGGCATCGTGTGTCCACAGCCACCCGTCACTATTAAATTGAGAGCAAGGAGCAGCCTTCTGTGTCCTTTGTCACCTTCTACACCTGCAGATCCACTTGATGCTGCTTCCACCACCTTCCCATCTGGGGCAACCGAGCGCTGGCGCCCAGGAACGTCCCCGTGCTGTGTAGCTGACTGTACAACCAGCCTGCGCTTCCAGGGAGCATTTCCCTCACAGGGCTTCCCAGGACTCCCGAGGGCTGCTCGGTCCCTTGCTGCCGTTCATCGGACGYGCTGCCTTTCCAGGCTGCCCTGCCTGCTTTGATCCTTGCCTCAGTTGCAGTAACGGCACAGGGAGCTGGGCAGGGGCAGGTAGCGCCAGCCCAAAGGGTGCTGTGCTGCATGGCAGCGAGGGCAGAGCAGGCTCCTCTGCTCCTGAAGCCCAAGGCTTGAAGGGGCTCTGCTCATTTCCCCCCCACCCAGCACAGATGGGAGCAGGGGGGAAGGGAAGAAAGGCCCACATTGCCCAAGRGAACATCCCGTCATGTTTGCACAAACAACTAACAAGGACCTGGGGGAAGAGGAGGCAGCGCTGTGGTGCTCATCAAGAGCTTTGTTTCCAKGTTAGTCTCTTAAGCAGCTACCTCTGGTGGCTCCTGGTGCTGTGAGGGGAGAGGCCGTGGGCTCTGGYAGCGCTGCCTCTGCCCCTGGGCTCGCTGCGGGGGCCGAGCAGCAGCCCCTCCGCCGGCAGCACGAGGCAGGGAGCCGCCGTGCGCGTGGGCTCTGCCGAGGGCGGCTTCGCCCCCTCCCGGCTCCGAGGCCTCCGGTGGCTCCTGCGGGGCCCCGCGCCGTCCCCGCTGCCTTCGCTGCTCGGGCGCCTGCAGAGGGAAGCGGGGTAAGGGGGGAGCGGAGGAAGAGGAGGGAAGCTTAGAAGCCCCTTTCTTTGTGCTCCTACTCACCCGGGTGCCAGCCTCTGGAGATCTGGGGTGCTGGCCTCGGAGCCATGCTGGCTACTGAGCTGAGTCCACAGCTGGGTCTGTGGGACAAGCTGGGGAGGAGAAGAGGGGGTGAAAACCTCCCCGCGCCCAGCTCTGCTGTTCTGGGTCTCGGCTCTGGGTGGAAATCATCGCTAAGCAGCTCTTGGGGGTGCAGCGGTCTCTTAAGAGCAGCCACAGCGCGGCCAGGAACCAGCTCCGGCCACGCTAGCAAAACAGCCTGTGCTCCAGGAGACCGGCCTCTGGGAGACGCATGGAACCCAGGTCCCGGCCTTCCCCAGAGCCAGGATAGGTTCCGCCCAGGATGGGAAACCACTGGTAGAAAAATGGGACCACCTCTAAGTCCCAGGGCTGGCTCAGGAGCTTGTGGAGAATCCCTCATCCAAAGAGCTGCCCTGCTGGGCAGCAGCAGAAGCCCAGCCCTGCCTGGGTGAACAGAGAGGCTGCCCAGAGCTTGGGCTGGGGCTGCACTAGGGATCAGCAGCAGCACACGTGGGGCAGGACAGCGCAGCGAGAGCAGCTCCGGTGTGGACTGGCACCTGCAGCTCAAGCAGCCCATGCCGGGGCTCTGCTCCCAGTGCCTGCCCTGACCCCCGCAGCGATGAGCCAGCCGCAGTGGTGCTGCAGCTTCAAGAGCAGCCCGTGCAGGCAGCAGTACCAGCCCCAGCTGCCACAGGCTCAGGTAGGTTCCCCAAGGCAGTATCAACAGCCCGGGAGACCCTTCTCTCTGCCTGAAACGGTGCTGGAATACGTAGGACCGGGCGGTGTGTCTATCCCTTCTTCCGCTGAGACCCACCTTCAACACGCCCTGCTGAGCTGCTGCCTTCACCTTGGCTAGCGCAGCCCGGAGCCGCGCATTCTCCTGCTCCAGGATGCTCAGCCTGATGTTGTTGGCCTGCAGCTGCTTCTCCATGTCCTCAGCGAAGTTCCCGGTGCCTGCAAATCAACCACGCTCCCTTGCAGCAGGAGCCCAAGATCAGCTCCGGGTGTTGACAGCACATGGAGGAGAGACAGGCAGCTGCTGTCTCCCAAATTCCTCACGGAGCTGCAGCAATGCTGTGGTGCTCAGGCAAGACTCACTGCTCACACCGCCTCCCCAGGGCTGCRTCCCTTTGCTGATGGCACTAGGGACATCACTAGGACCAAACACCCTGCAGCAGAGTCTCCCTCTACGCTGCCCAGGGCCACTTGGCAGCCCTCCTTCCTCCCCYGGGCCTTTCTCCCATGGAAGGCCGTGTCCTGCAGCAGGGTGGCTCCCAGCACTGGGAAGAGGCCCTTACAGGCTGAGGAGCAAAGTGCTGTCTGGGAGGTGGCATCTGGGACCCAAAACTGTGCCAGGGAGCAAGCTGGCAAAGAAACAGCCAGGAAAAACCCAGCCGCCCCCAAGCCTGTGCTCTGTTTACCCGCCCAGATGCAGTCAGAGAGGTCCTGACTTTTGTAGGCAGGGAAGATCAGGAACGGGCATATAAAGAACACTGACCACACTGGTACCGGCTTAGCGCAGCCCAGCAACTGGACCCTTCCCAGCTGCAACTGGCTCATATTAGTGGGACAACTTGAGCTATTCAAATAGCATTGACATGTCTGAGGCCAACAGGATCCCCCATGAGTTCCAGARAAGGGAGCAGTGGGGCAGGGAGGCTGTGGGAGCTCCTTTTCCACTGCTGCCTTTTGCCTTCTACCCCTTCCTCTCCCTTACTCTCAAAGTGAGCCTCAACGGGGACGTGGAGCTCCGGGAAGGACACCAGCAGCCTTTCCCGCTCCTTCAGCTTCCCAACCAGCTCCTCCAGGCCAGAAACGTTCGTGCGTAGCTCAGAGATGGACTGCTCCAGGCCCAGCTTCTCCTGCTGCGCAGTGTCCAGCAGCTTCTGTAGGGCAGAGYAGAAAGACCATGAGGTTTGCAGAACGCTCGCCCAACGCCTGCTGCAGTGCAATCCGGGGCGGCCCACGAGCTCAAAATGCAGCTCTATACAGCTCCCAAGGAAAGCTCCCTCTCCTTGTGGGATAAAGATGTCCCACAGGAGCGTGATGAGCTGCAGCGCTCTTAACTGTAAAGGTCCCTGTGCRAGTTTGGAACAAAAATCCAACCACAAGCTATTGTGTGTGTTCAGAAACATGCACTTTGGAGATGGGGGGAAGCTGATTGAGGAGCTGTTCCCTACTGCTCCCCGTTGCATAGCCTCCTGTGGAAAATTTGCCTGTGCAAGGGCTGAGGAAGATCTTGCCATGGTGGTTGCTGGGTGGAGATGGTCACCTGGCTAGAGCCAGGGCAATGTCACGACGTGTGGTCCCTGAGAAACCCTGCTGAGAAGCCCCTAGCAATGGAYAGGGGAACAGGACAGGACAGTGGGTGGCTCCTGACGCTCCCTCAGCAGAGCTGTGTCTCACTCCAGTCCCCTGGCCCAGGAAGGGGTGCCCTGCTCCTGGAAGCTGGGTGCTGGTGCTGACCTGTTGTGTCTCTAGGTGGCTCTTGCTCTGCTCCCACTTGTCCTGGTTCTCCTTCAGCTGCTCTGCCAGTCTGGCCTTGTCCTCCTCGGCTTCTGCCAGGCTGGTGCGGAGCTCCTCGCACTCCTGGTCCAGGCTGTCCAGCTGCCGCAGCAGAGTACTCTGCTTGGCCTGGAGGGACTGCATGGAACAGGTAAATATGTAAGCRACCACTGCTCCTTTAAGCTCAGACAAGCAACCTGGCAGCAACCATTTCAACCTGGGAGCACGCACAAGTGGCACGTGAAAACAAGAAGACAACAGCTTGTGGCAACAGCTAAGCGGGCAGTAAAGTGGTACTGAGGAAGGTCAGTCCTAAGCCAGGGTGGCACTGGGCAAGAGGGGCTCAGGCAAAGTGCAGCACTGCTGGGCAGAGCCACCTCACTAGTGCTGGCTGAGGGTGGGCACCGACCAGGWCCATGAGTGGGCTCTGTTTACCTTCTCCACCTGCAGCCTGGTTTAAGGTCAGGGGAGCAGGAGCTGGCCCATGGTCAGCCTGTTCCAGGCAACGCGTGGCACAGCAGGAGGACCAGGATGGTGGGAGGGACAGAGCAGGCAAGTGGTTAGTGCCAGAGCAGCTCCGAGGTGGGGGAGAGCAGCAGGAGCAGCGGGCCTGGTCATACCTCCTCGTGCCTCAGCATGCTCTCCACTTTGGCCTTCTCCTTCTCGAGCTGGGTGGTGACGGCGCTCAGCTCCTGGCCCATGCCCTCCTGCTGGCCACTGAGCAGCTGCACCTTCTCCTGCAGCTCCAGCACCTGGCTCTTGGCCACCATCTTGGTTCTCATGTCTTCCAGCAGGGTCTTCTTCGTCACCTCTGGGGAGACAGGTGTCCTTCAGCCCAAGCTGGGCAGGTGGGGGAGAAGCTCCAAGAGAAAAGGTGCCGTTACGGGGCCCTTCACTCTCAACAGGCCCTGATGAGGGGATGAGGCAGGTCTGACAGGAGGGCTTGGCACATTTAGCTGCAATGGGTGCGCAGTAAAGGCCCAGAGCCCTCACTCCTCCTCCTGCAGACACAGGTCTCCTTCTACAGCTGCCTGGCTGGCTGGTAGAGCTCCTGCTCTTGAGCACGTTGACGGGGCAGCAGCAGGACTTGGCATGACCAGCATGGATCCCACTGCTGCCCAGCTTCTTTCCAGCCCCACAAGACACAAGGCACCCCCTTCCCCGCCRCCGCCTCCACTCTCTCTGATCTATGTGGGTGTGAGGAGCTGGGGACCTTGCTCCTGTCCCCATCTGTCCCACTCTGACTAGATAATTTTGAACCAACATAATGACAGAGGCCATCTACCCACTGCTACAGYCCAGCTCCCATTCCCACCAGCACTAAGCATGAGTGATTTCAGGACAGTGCAGAGTTACATATTTGTAAAAGAAGCATGATATGAGAGCAAGATATCTGGATGAGATCTGCCAGCTGGRTGACACCTGAATGATCCTTACCCAGCTCCTGCAGAGTAGCTTGCTTTGAAGCCACTGCTTCCTTTAAGGTAGAGATTCGCTCTTCCAGCAGAGCAGCTCCTAAATCAATGAGAAAACTCAGCTAAACTTTTCATAGTTTTTCAACGAAACCAAAATAAGGAGGCGCTAAATGACTGTGTCTAAGAATTCCTCGTCCAGTAACAGTAGCATGCCCTGCTTCAGCAGAGAGAAGTCACTACAAAGATCCAGACAAGGAGCTTCCACCGTCCAGGGTCTCACAGCAGGGACCAGACACAAGATGCTGTGCAGTGACCGACCATGGAGAGCCCTGTGAAGTCTGCAGCAGGGTGGAAATGAGACCCTAAGGAGTGCAAGTGGAGGGCTTCAGCAAAGGAAACCGCACAAAAAGCAGCGGTCCCAGCACACCACCCCTCATCTGCTCCAGGGGCAACTGCTAACAGTTTCTGTCAAGGGATGGATGAAGGGGCAATTTCCATGATAAAGGAAAACCCACAGCAAGGCTTCTCTGTGGGTCTCTCAGCCACAGGACTATGGAGAAAAACACCTGGAAGCTGAGGAGTGACTCTAAAGGGAACAGGCATTTGCTGATGACATTTGGGTCTATCAAAATCCAARGCAAAAACCCTGCTCTTTGCAGTGGGATCAAGACTTTCATGGCATTGGTGTTTCTCCTGCAAACACCCACTGTACCAGGAAGGGATCACAGAATCATGCTGTACCTCTCCGTAGGTCCTCCTTGTCCCGCTCCAGTTTGGCTACAGCCTCCAGGTGCTCTTTCTTCTTTGCTTCCAGGGACTGCTCAGCCTCCTTCCTCTGCTCTTCTTGGGTTTTCTTTTCCTCCTGAAGCAACTTGGCAAATTCCTCCACCTTCTTCTGCAGCTCATCCTTCTGTTTCTCTGCTTCTTCCAGCTTCAATTTCAGAGGGTTTATCAGCTGCAGCAGCATGTGGAGATGTTTGCTGATCCGAGAGAGGTCCTTGCTTTGTTCAGAGGCCCAGTAATTCATGTCCATTGCAGAGAGGGCCCTTCTACGCACGGTCTCCTCCAGCGTCTCATGGAATCTGCTGAGGGCCGAGGGGATGTTCTGGCCCTGGCAGATGCCCGCGATGGCTTTGCTGACCTCCCAGAGGCCGGCTTGTGCACGAGCACACAAGTCGCAGGGTGCCAGGGGTGGCTCCGCTGTCTGCGTGGAGATGCTGCGGCCGCTCTCCGCGACGCTGCACGCAGAGCTGGGCAGGGAGCTGGCCGAGGCGCCGCGCTCTGGCACACCGACACTCTGCAACGGGCACACAGAGGCTGACTGGGCAGCACCTGTGGATGAGGTTGGCTCCGGAACTGCAGGTGAGCAGCTCTTCAAGCACAGCTGCTCAGTGCCTACCCCCTCAGGGGTAGCTTTCGGTGTGGGGATGTCTTTTCTGCTGTTTTTTTTCTAGTGGAGAGAGCAGAGAAACACAGGGCACAGATTGCACCAAGTCAGCAGCAAATGATCCACACCAAACTGAATGCAAAGATGTTAAATGTGGGGATGGGGCATCAGGGAGAGCGCAGCCAAGGGGCTACAAGGACAGTGAAGCCTCTCGGAAGGAGAGAGGTTCCAGGAGCCTAAAGGAGGATCAGTGTCACCAAGCAGTCAGGGTTTCCTATTTATTGTGCTTTATAACCTACATGTCTTACCCATCTATATCATCAAACTAAGATGAACGGCCAATGAACAAAAGCCGAATTTGCTCACACAGGCCACGGGTCATCCCTGATGGAGGATGCCAAGGAACTGACTTTTAAAAGCTGCCAGGTAGCTTTCCAGCCACTGATATCTGTGATCTCAGCCAGGTGGAGGCTCCGGTTTCACASTGAAATTAGCTCCCTCGTTCCCATTCTTGCTCCTGTCTCATGGGTAAGCCAGAAGAGACCAGGGCCAGGGCAGAGCTCCTCCTGCCYGGCACCCCTGCACTGCCACACATGGGGCATCCCAGGCAGGGACTGTGCCCGCAGCAAGACGCAAAAGGAAACCCAAGGCAGCGTGTGCCGCAGGGAGGGCTGAGGGAAGGACCTTTGTGCGAGCACGGCACGTCCCACCTGGGCGAGGAGCTGCTGGCAGAGGGCTCCCAGCCGCAGCATGCTGCTCCAGCACTTGCGCACCGTCAGCCCCGCCGACATGCAGGGGCCCACGGGCCGCACGGGCGGAATCGCCTTCTCGCCGAGCAGGTTTTCTGCGTAGCCCGTGAAGCTCTGGAGCAGCAGGAGGAGCCTTCTTGGACAGAAACGAAACACGGCTTAGAGCAACAGGGCATTTGGAGCAGGGGAAGAGCCGTTGGCGTTCAACGGTGCAGGGCCAGCGYGGAGGCAAAGAGGTTCTGCTCCCTCCCCACGCTCTGGACAACYGGAGTTTGGCCAAGGAGGCTGGATACCAACACTCCAGTCACCCAGTRGAGCCACTTTTTGGGGGGCACTACGGCTGTGGATACCAAGGCCAGATCGTTCGTGTCAAACATGCAGGGCGGGCTCTGCATCAACAGCTTGTCTTTAACGCTGCTTTCCCCACCAGCGCTCACCAGGGGCTCCGTGGCCTCCTCGTCCCTCCAGGCTCAGCTGCCGTTAGGCCTGAGCATTCCCAGGCTTTGCGGGGGCTGTTCGGAGAGCCGGGCACCGCGGTGGGACCACGACAACCACCGCGCAACGTTCCGAAACGGCAGCCACCATTAAAGGCCCCTGGAGAGGCCGAGCTGGCKCCCAGCGCCCGGTGCAGATCCCGGCGAAGGCGTCCGGGCCCGGGAGCTCAGCAGTGCCCAGGACATGGTCTCCGGTCTCCCCTTCCCACCTGTCGATCACCAGCTCCAGCAGCACCACGTGCGCGTGCTGGGTGAACTCCAGGTCTCCCTCCACGTAGTCGTAGCGCTCCAGCAGCTCGGCCAGGTCCAGCTCGCACGACACTTTGTCGGGGAACTTCCAGGACGGGTAGCGAACGGCCCCGGCGCGGGACGACACGTCGGCGATGGCTCCCTGCAGGTCCGCGATGTCGGCCCGCAGGCTGCCCATGCACGCGGGGCTGCCCAGGAGGTGCGCCATGCCGCGGGCACCGCGCCGCCCGCGGGGGACCCTCCGAGCCGGGACAGAGCCGGTGTCGGACGGAGCCCGGACGCCGGACACGATCCGGTCCGGCCCGCTGGGACGGAACCTGCGGCCCGGCCCGGCCCCGCCCCTCCCGCCCGCTGCCACGGCAACCGCGCAGGCCCCGCCTCTCCCGCCCGCTGCCACGGCAACCGCGCAGGCCCCGCCCCCTCGGGGCGGCAGGCCGCTCCCGGCCTCCCCGATAGCGCCAGTTAATGGCACTTTCCCCTTGCGCATGCGCTCTGCTCCTCCGCCGACCTCCAGGCTGCCTCCCGCGAGGCGCGCATGCGCCGGCGGGCCCCCTCCGCGCGCTGCTGACGTCACGGGCGTCGCGCGTGCGCAGCTCGCAGGCACGGCCGCCATTTCGCCCGCGCTGCCGCCCGCTCCGTCGCGCGTTCGCCGGTGCCGGACGAGGAGCGGCCGCGGGCGGGAAGCGGCGCCCGCCGCCCCACAGCGATCACGATGCCGGCCGGGCCCGTGCAAGCGATGCCTCCGGCGCAGCCCGCGCCGCCCGCCGAGAGCAAACCGGTACGCGGGGCCGCGGGGCCTCAGGCGGAGCGCGGGCCGGGCCCGGCCGCGCCGCTTTGCCCAGGGCCCTGCGCTGCCTTCGGCGGGCATTTAACGCTCCCTTAGTGCTCGCGGGCGGCTGCGTTTCCCTGCGGCGGTCTCCTGGACACCCGCGGCCGGGCGGSCGGGCTGGGTCCCCTTGCGGGTGCAGCCCTCGCGTGCTCCCCACTCTTGTGTCGCACRCTCGCCTCCCCAGGAGCCTCTTTGACCTTTCATAAACGCGGTCTGTGCCTCCAGGGTCGCTTTAGTGCCCTCCCGGTTGTGTGTTCCCGCGTTATTCCCCCCTCCGGCCCCCCAAGGTGATCTAACCGGTCCTGGAAAGGCTRATTTGCACTTTATTTTGAAAGAATAGGTTGAACAGGCTTGTTGTGTGGCTGCTGATACTGTAGAGGCACGTAGGTTGCCATGCAGCTGCACCCGGGATGCATCTGCCTGGGTCCGTGCTGTGGTAAACACTGTTAGGAGGGAAACAAACTAATTCCCAATAAATACCCGACTGCTTTCATTAATGTAAATTAACAAGGCAACTCAGCATGGTAATCAAGTAAGTGTCCCTCAAGGGCCGTGTTGTTTTTTCTTGGGAGGTGGGGTATCGGAATAGATCTGCCGAGCGACTGAGGTGCTGCCTGGAATGCATCGTTCTGATGCAGCATCAGTGAAACACAGTTTGGCGTTGTGTACAGGTGTGGTGTGCTGCGATCATTATTTCCAGCGCTGATGAAGAAATTAAGAGAAGAAAAGGGACTTTTTCAAGCTAACCGACTCGGTTTGCAGCCCACCAGAACATGCTCTCAGACCCCCACGCTGGTAGATTGTTACCAAAGTGTTACTTGAAATTATTTGTCTTATCCTGTTTTTTTTAGATTATTACTGCTTAGTGTCTTGCCCAAGTATACGTATATATGTATATATATACATGTTTGTGTCTATCTCTAATGCAGCCAGAAGAGGAGCCRAAAGAGGAAGCATCCCCAGCCAAGCCTGTGGTGGGAATTATTTACCCTCCTCCAGAGGTCAGGAATATTGTTGACAAGACTGCCAGCTTCGTAGCCAGGTAACGGACGCTCGTGTGGTCTTATGTTTCTGACGTTTTCCAGTGACTCTCTTCTTCCAGTGCTTCGCTCTCTGTGGGTATAGAAGCCAGAACAGTCACTGTCTTGTGACTGATGTGAAGGAAAAGAGATTGCAGGTGGAAAGGGAATGTGGTTTCAGCGCTCCATTGAATAACAGAGGCAAGAGGAGGTGTCATAGTTGTGTTTTACAATGCATAGGCAAAAAGTGGTGAACTTCCCAGTGCCAAGAGCTCCCTTTTGCTCTCAGTCCTGAGGCTAAGTCTCATACCTGTTTGTGTACAGCATTTGTGGCTGGGATTTGTGTTCTCCAGCTGTAACCATCCAAGTCTGACCCAAACGTACTCTATTTTCATACCACTGAAGTGGAACGGTAGTTATTGTTGCTTTAAGGCAATTACTGAATGATAATCTGCTGCATAACTACTTTCTAAAATATTGGCTTTTTAGTCTTGACTTGATTAGAGGACAAGTAAGGGACTGTAGTATCATTTTGTGTAGTAAGGAGACCTCCTCTTTTGGAAGAAGCTTATGCCTACATAAAATTTAGAGGCAGTTTGAATATGAATAGAAACACAGTGCAGCAGCTGTGAAATCCCTCAAACTGCCCTGAGAAATGAGTAGCCATTTGCTTTGGAGAGGAAACAAAACTCACCCAAACTACAAGTCCAGTTACCTGAATTTACAGCTCCCGTAAATGCAGCGTTTCAGCGTGATCAGTCTCTGCACTGGYACATGGTTACCTGGGCTTGAGGTTTTGGGGTTTTTTTTCCCTTTGAAAACCCTTGAGAAAAAGGTAAGTATATTCTTAAAGACTTTGATATTGCTGGGCTATATTTACAATTAGTCTAGTATGCCACCYGCAAATGTCATGCGGTAAGTTGTCATCCAGTATGTGGTTTTGTTTGCATGCAGGTCCAATAAGATTGTGGAACATCTGTAATTGCTAGGTTTTAACYGTCTTGAGAAAACACTGCCCATGAATTTTACAGAATAAATTGGGACAAATGTATTTAACTTGCATAACTGGCTGCCCTGTTGGATGTGGGTTGCCTGGAGAGCAGTGGCATCCTTTTCCCACAGAGAAATCTGTCTTCTAAGAGGTTGCTTTTCCAAGATGTCCACCCATGAAAGAAGTGGGCACTTAACACTTGAGGTGACATTGGTTCATCTAAACCATTTTTTTTTCTACCTCTCCAGAAATGGTCCAGAATTTGAAGCTCGAATTCGTCAGAATGAGATAAATAACCCCAAGTTTAACTTCTTGAATTCCACTGATCCTTACCATGCCTACTACCGGCACAAAGTCAGTGAGTTCAAAGAGGGAAAAGCCCAGGAACCCTCGGCTGCTATTCCCAAGGTCATGCAGCAGCAGCAGAGTGCTCCGCAACAGCTTCCCCAGAAGGTGAGCTCTTCCTCTCTCTGCTGTTGAGAACTTGGCTGCTGATGGTTCTGTCTCACATCCTGCTATCTAGACAGAGGGTCTGGAAGACATGCAAATGGGGGGCTTATTTCATTTATACATATGCAGCAAAGACTGCACTCATGTGCAGATGTAGATACTCATCTTATGGTTGCTCAAAATGGTGTATAAAAGATCATAGTGTATTAACTGATATCTTTTAATTAAATTTAGGTATGTGGTGACTTATACTTAACCACTAGTGTTCCCTTGAGTTGTAACAGTATAGGACCTCTTGTCATGGACAAATCTTTTATAATCCCTTGAAATCCTTGTTGCATTCATTGTTTCATGGAAATATTTACTGTTGYTGTTGTTTGCTTGGTTGCTTGTGTTTTCCTGACAGAAAAATTGACTACTTCTCTCAGAATGTGCAGTACAAAGTGTTGTTAAATAATTGYCTGTACTTAAGAATTCTGTGCATTTTTATCAAGTACATGTTGGATGGAAAAAGGACACTGAGTGAATCTCTTTTATCTGACTTGTGTGGCCAGAAGTTAGGCTGACCATGAATTGACCCTCCCCRAAGTCTTGATAGTTTCCACTTCTAGAGTTCAGAGTGACATTTGTTTTATAGTGGGCCCAAGTATTTGTTCTTGGGTATATCCTGCATTAGTAGCTTTTCCCATGCTTGCAGTTACCCAGACATCTGGTGTGTTGCATCTTTCGTTAGCCATGGGACAAGTGGGCTCTCCAAGTGTTTGCTTGGTAGCAGCTTTTTGAATGCACTKAGTTGTTTCTCTTCTACTCTGCAGGTGCAGGCCCAGGTAATCCAGGAGACSGTTGTCCCAAAGGAGCCGCCTCCGGAGTTTGAGTTCATTGCAGATCCTCCTTCAATCTCAGCCTTTGACTTGGATGTGGTGAAGCTCACGGCACAGTTTGTGGCTCGYAACGGCCGGCAGTTCCTAACTCAGCTGATGCAGAAGGAGCAAAGGAACTATCAGTTTGACTTCCTTCGCCCACAGCACAGTCTCTTTAACTACTTTACTAAGCTAGTTGAACAGTACACCAAGGTAAGTTGGCTGTAACTGATCCCTTCAGCAGCAATAATGTGCTTGAAAACTCCTGAAGCTCTAGAAAACAGCTYGGTGGTTCAAGGAATCTTTAAATCTGTGTCTGAATGGATGTGTTGAAATTAGTTGGCAACGAGTGCAGGATTTTAACGCAGTGGGTTGTTGTTAGAGTATGTCAGACATGATATCCTGTTGTAATGCAGATAGCAGTGGATTTTTTTTTTTTTTTTGAAGTATGGAGAAGAGATAGCAGAGCCAATAGTGAACATTTTAAGTGCAAGTATAGGTGGTAACCAGTAACTTTAGTATTAGGAGAATTGAAACATAGCCTCAAGGGGCCTTGTATTTTTTTATGAATGTTGAAAGAGTATAAGGTGGTATATGGTACAAGGAAAGCTTTGGTGAAAGAACATGTCATCAAACGTCATGTGAACTGTTTCAGATTTTAATCCCGCCTAAAGGCTTGCTTGTCAAACTCAAGAAGGAGGCTGAAAATCCCAAAGAAGTCCTAGATCAGGTAAAGTATGAATGGTTTCCAAAATTGCTGAAGCATTTGGGTTATTTTGAATTCTTCCTTTTGGTGCTTCACATTGATTAACAGAGAATAAAATGGACATACTGATCATAATCACAAGAGTCACTTGAATATCAGGATGCTTTAGCTTGCTTTTTAAACTAGTAGCTAGTATTGGGAGTAATTTGTATGTGAGAGCACAAACATGTAGATACTTGCTGTACGTAAGGTATATTTCAGTAGCTTCCAAAGTACATGAGAACTTGGAGTGCTTGATAGTGTACTACACCATTTTCAAGAGCCTAAAGTAAAAAGCGAGACTTAAATTGCAT